TTAGAAAGCATGGACAATTTCATCAATGGGAGCTTTTCTAGGTTTGGTTCCACTTCTGTTGCAAGATATGTAGCAAGGCCAATCCTAAACGGAGCTACATCCTTAAAAACAGGTTGACTACAGTAGACTTTGTTTAGGATTGCACTGGTAAGCCCTAATTTATAATTTCACTTCATTTATACCTGGCCTTTCTCTCTAATGGGGACCCGGAGCAACTTACATGGCTGATCACAATTGTCTAGGGATGCCAGCCTCCAGGTGGGACCTGGGGATCCCCCGGAATTACAGCTCATCTCCAGAGACTACAGAGATCAACTCCCCTGGAGAAAGTGGATGCTTTGGAGGGTGGACTCCATGGCATTGCACCCTACTTAGATCCCTGCCCTCCCCAGGTTCCTCCTCCAAATCTCTAGGAGTTTCCCAACCTGGATCTGGCAACCCTATGACCCCACTGGTGGCCATGGGGGACCTGGCAACCGTACTAGTGGCTTAGGAAAGACCTTTTGGTTACACTGCTTAAGGGGCTGTTTGAAACCTCACCCACAGAAGCAGCAGAGCAGCAACAGAAAAAAACACATTGAAAAGGCCATAGAGCTTGCATACGGAATTTCACATGCTATGGAATCTCAAGTCAGTGGATGGAATGGAGGCATGGGAGAAGTATGGAATCTCAAGTCAGTGGATGGAATGGGGACATGGGAAAACAGTAGGGTTGCCAGGTTACCCCTGGCCACCAGTGGGGGGTGGAAGGTAAGGTTGCCACATTCAGGTTGGGAAACTCCTGGAGACTTGGGGATGGAGCCTGGGGAAGACAGAGACCCCAGTGGAGTACAATGACATACAGTCCACCCTCAAAAACATCTATTTTCTCCAGGGGAACTGATCTCTGTAGCCTGGAGATAAGCTGTAATTCCGGGGGGTCTCCAGGTCCCAAACTGGAGACTGGCATTCCTAGAGAAAAGGAACAAGCCCGAGAGAACCAACAGCAGCTGCAGAAAGGAGGGAAAGTCTAATCAGCATAGACACCCCTTCCCCAAATGTCCCACTATGAGAAGGGGACTAGTTCCTAGCACTGGCCTAGTCAAGAGAAAAGGACTATTCAAGAGTAAAGCCTATTTTAGGAGTAGGATAAGAAAACCAGGGAGTGGGGTAAGCAGGAAAGTGGTTAAAAGGCAGAACTAGGAGGAACTGCGGGAGACAGAAGGGGTGTTTTCCTGGTCCTGGCAGAAAGTCTAGGGGAAGTGTGGCAAGTAAGGTCTAGACCGAGCCAAAGAAGAACCTTTCTTCAAGCAGCCACAGTGGAGCCATGGCTACCTCAGGGCCTAATGCCGGAATGAGGGTGCAGGAGCTTGTTGTTGTTCAGTCGCACAGTTGAGCCTGACTCTTCGCGACCCCATGGACCACATCACGCCAGGCCTTCCTGTCTTCTGCCGTCCTCTGAAGTTGGCTCAGTTTCATGTTCGTTGCATCGGTGACACTGTCTAACCATCTCATCCTTTGCCGTCCCCTTCTTCTTTGACCTTCAATCTTTGAGCTTGAGGTGACGGATAATCAGACTCACGAAGGGATTATTCTCTCAGAGAGCAGACCTGAAGACCAGGCCTTAGCTACAAAGAGAATCAACCTTGTTTGGCATGCAGGCCCCCTAGCTGTAATGTGACTATTAAGCCTAGGTACTTCTGTTAAAGCGTTCCGTGCGCCTTGGTGTTTAGTCATGCCAGCCACATGACCACGGAAATGTCTTTGGACAGTGCTGTCTCTTTGGCTTTGAAACGGAGATGATGACCGCAACCCTAGAGTCGGATTCGACTGGCTTTCAAGCAAGGGAACCTTTACCTTTACTTTTTACTTCTGTTAAAGGCACTTTTAATAGAATTTAAAGAGACCAGGTTCCTGCTTGTTATCAGGGAGGCTGGGGAAAGATGGGAGTGAGTAGCAGGGCTCTCACCCGGTGAGTCTCAGCAATAAATCCAGATTAAAAATATTAACTAACGTAAACGAAAAGGAAATATTTATCCACTGTGGTCTGAAAAATTCAGTACATCTCAAGTTGTACAGACAGCAATATATTCAGGATTCAGTGTTTGGACCTGACAATTTCTAATCATGATATTTATGTTCATTACAGCTATAACAGCAAAAGTTTTATTTAGGATGTCCTATACCTGAACAGTGCTTGGGTTATAACGGCTTTGACCCTTGGTATCTGGTTTTAATGCTCTGGTGGCACTACATAAAGTAAAAATAGTTTTCCAGGCCCCTGAGTAGATTCAGAATTCATTTTCCTTACTATATAGCAACTACAGAGGTTTCCCCTATATCAGGGATTAGGACAATGGATCTAGATTAGAGGGTGGCATTGCTGGATGGATCAGAGACTTGGAATTCACTAGTAATGAAGCACTGGAGCCTGGCATAAAAAACGAGGGAGATGTTCTGAAGAACAACTAGGGTTCCTTAGCTTGCTGAACATCGATCTATCAGATGAAACTGAGAAATCAAAGGGAAGATCTCTGCACTGCCCATATACATAGGGGGCATGGAGAGACTGAGGCAGTTCAGACTTTTCTTAAGGTTGCTGGCTCAGGGTTGGTAAATCGCTAGAGATTTGGAGGTGGGGCCTAGTCAGGGCTTTTTTTGTAGAAAAAGCCCAGCAGGAACTCATTAGCATAATAAGCCACACCCAACAGCAGAAACTCATTAGCATACTAGGCCACAACCCCGACAGCACAGCTCATTAGCATATTAGGCCACACACCCATGCCTCCCCTTGGCTTGCCCAGGCGCCCCGTGGCTGCAGGCGCCCCGTGGCTGCAGGCAAGCTGGCCCTTGGACAGGCCAGGGAAGGCATGGGAAGGCATTTAAATGCCTCCCTGATCCTTCCAGCTCCCCCGGCTGGCCTGCCTCAGAGTTGCCAGGGGGGGTGTCGCTCTCCAGGCCTCCCCTCTGTAGTGGGTGTGGCCAACTCTGAAGCCAGCCGTAACTCCGTTCCTGTGAGTTCCTGCCCCAGAATAGCCCTGGGCCTAGTGAGAGCAGGGGCTGGGAGGAGAGGGACCTCAGGGGTGTATAACGCTGTAGAATTCACGCTCCAAAGTAGCACTTTTCTCCAGGGGAATGGATCTCTGTAGTCTGTAGATCAGCTGTAATTCTGGGAGGTTTCCAGACCCCACCAAATTCTGAACAACCAGAGAAGCAAGAAACATCTGTTTGCAAAGGCCAGGAATTGTTTATCACTGAACAGAATGACCATCACTGAATGAAGGGATGTTTGATATATTTCGTCAATCGCCTTGTTGAATATTTACAGTTATCCAAGTCTGACTCCCCCGTAGAATTATTATACTCTTTCATGGTAATTTCAGCAAAAAGACAAGGGCCTTAGTTTAGTTTTTTATTTTATTTTACGTGTTGTATTTTTATTTACATTTTATATTTACAAAATCTCTAGATGGCCATTTAGCCAAATGGTCAGCAAAGTAGTTCGTAAGGTGAGGCAAATAAGGATCTCTGCAGGTCGGAATACACAGGCTTACATAATAAAGACCAGTGCCTGCCCTGGAGCAGGCGCTGGTGTTTGCCAACCCCCCCCCCCCCATCACATCTTCTCAGAGGAAGCATGAGGGTGGAGCGAGCCAATGGGGTCTCAGCGCAGGAGTGCCGGCCAATTGAGGGGTGGCTCACCAGACAGGTCTGGCAATGGCCACTCTCCTTCCTCAGTACAGCTAGGATGTATTACTGAACATACATAAAGTATATAAAGTTGCAATCTAAGAATTAAAAAAAACCCACCACAGATATCATTACTAAGTTTAATACTTGCACAGGGAAGGTGTTTATACTTATTTGGTTACAGGAGATCCATAGTAAGAGAAACCTTTGTTCCTGGGCTAGAAATCAAAGTCCCTTTCTGCATCCTTGGCTGGATATATGCATAGTGGAATACGGTGATCATCACTCCAGAGTAAAGGTACCTGTGGCCATCCTCCTATGGAACAGTTTAAACGTGGAATTAGCCCAAAGGTAGAAAGTGATCCTGGAAGGTTGGCTAAGCTGGGGAGCTGGTGTGGTTCTCCCATATGGTTGCTAGGTTCTCCGTGGCCACTGGCAGGTGGTACCATACAGAATATAAGGCAAGGCAAGTGCAGACTTGTCCTAGCAAGGCAGCTGGGATGACTTGCCAGTGTCTGGAGTTACCAGAGATCAACAGTGAAGAGCAGGCAGTAGCTGCATGCATCCTGGCCCTTGGCACTTAGAGGCAGTCTGGCCCACACAGACACAAACTTGACCAAAGATTATCTTTAATACACAACTTCATAAGCTGCATTTAAAAAATTAAAGCATTTTCTTATCTATACATAACACAATTCCAATTAACGTGCAAACATATACCTATACCCTCCAAAGTAGTAACTTCCAATCCTTTGCTGCATCAATTAATGGTGATGGGGTCTTCTGCTTAGCTGGTGGGATACTTTCATATAAACTGAGCTAGGATTTCACTCCAAAGAATGTCAATTTTGCCTTTGGGAATTAAATTACATCAGCTACCAGGAGAAGGAAGTGTTCGGTAGATAAGTCTGACCATAACTGATGGCTTATAATGTTTCTTCAATCCCTGCGCAAACAGATCTTAGATATTTGGTTAATACAAACATCCATCAGGTTAATATGAAACTGCTGCATCTGTACCTTTCTGAAAAAATGATCTGCTGGATAAGGGCAAAAGGAGCATCCCTAGTATTACAACTTAAGCACTTTCAGATAGACCTCTCTCTCTCTTTCTCTCTCTCTCTCTCTCTCTCTCTCTCTCTCTCTCTCTCTCTCATACACACACATACACACACACTCATCTCACTTGCAAACTACATCTGGCAAAATATAAATATTGGGGCTCACATGAACACACAAAGCTGCTTGATCAAGGTCAGTATTGTCTACTCTGACTGGCAGCAGCTTTCCAGAATCTCAGGCAGAGGCCTTTCACATCACCTACTACCTGATCCTTTTAAATGGAGGTGCTGGGTGACTGAACTTTGGACCTTCTGCATGCAAAACAGGTGCTCTGACCCTAAGTCTCGTATTTGTAATGGAACTGGCTGACATCGATGCAAGTTGTTAGCTTGCTCATGGAGAACCTTACCATGGCAACATGGCCCTGCATATCAGAAAAAAATGACCCTGTCATGTGCTGGTGGATGTGATAATTGACCCTCTTCCTCCACACACAAAAAATACCCATGTGACATGCAACTCTCCCACGTGCACATCTCCAGACCAGGACAGAAATAAGTATTAAAAGTTGTTTAAATATTAACAAAAAAAATTACACAGATTTGAAGTTAGCATGGCTAAATAGTATCACTAATTTCTTTCAGTCATCAGCCACAAATTCATTGTGTGTGTGGGGGGGGGAGAAAATTGATAATGGCAGTCTTTGATATTCATTAATTCAGTATCCAGCTTGATTGTTGGCTGATATTACATTACTTGTCTGAAGGACTGGATTGTGTTAAATAAGAACACTGAAGCTGACAGAGAGGGTTCTCAGCAGCCACATTAGATGTATGGTTTCCAGACTATATGGTTAGAACTGGGATGGCTTTCAACTTTGCAGTTTGTGATTCCTGATATGGTTCTGAGGGTTCATTCAACACAGACATTATGCATCGCTTGAGATTTTATTCTCCATCAAATGTGTGGATTGACCCCATCAAAACCCACTGTGCTTTGAGGTGGAACAAACAGCTCTGTCTGCAGTGTTTTGTCACATCATGTACAGAGACCAGGAACACGCATGCGCGGACACATCCACTGACTCTGCAGAGGTGAAAATTCCTTTCCATGAACTCTTTGGCACTCTATTGTCTTGTGACTGATTAAGAGTAAATACCTAATGAATTTCAGTCCTGGTCTGCACAGCTAACCATGCCAGACAAAATACTCCAGCAACAAAGGCTGGCCACATGCTGCTCCTCTTCTTGAATGGCTTCTATCAGGTTCTACAAGCAAAATCCAGATTCCAGACCGGCTTTCAATGTCCACTTCCATTTTAGATTATTGTTTCATACAGCAGATTCTACAACCATTGCTGAGCACAGCTGTAAGAGAAGTGTACACTTAGTCTGTAATTCTTACAGTTTAATCATGCATTTACAGCCCAATTCCATGTGTGTTTACTCAGAAGTAAGTCCCACTGAGTTCTATGAGACTTATGCCCAGGGAAAGGTTCTAGGACCAATGCTTTGGAGTGCAATACTATAGATGTTTACTCAGAAATAACTCCCACTAAATTCAATGGGTTTTGTTTTTTTAAAAATAAGGGTGTTTAAGGATTGCGGCTCTGAACGCTTTGTCTTGATAGCACAAAATCAGCCTTGCAGTTCAGTTTCCAACCACTGCATTAATGTAGTCATCTAATCTGTGGTGTTATAGCATCATTGGCGGGACTCTTTCAGGTCACACAAAGGGAAGCTATGAGGAATCAACAGGTTACTTACCCATATTCATAGGATGGCATGTACATATTCTACAAGAGAAGGAAAATGAGAAAAGTTGGTTATTTCATAATCCATTGTAGTGATGGATACAGCATAACAGATTCATGGAGGATAGGTTTATCAGTGGCTACTAGCCATGGTGACTAAGGGCAACCTCCACATTCAGAGGCAGTGAACCTTTGCATCCCAGTGCCAGGAGGCAACATCAGGGGAAGGCCTCAGTTTCTATGCCCTGTTGCTGGCCCTCCAGAGGAACTGTGGTATGAGACTGGCTGCTGGACTAGATGGACCACTGGTCTGATCCAGCAGACTTCTTTTTATGTTCCATTTGTTTTAGCTTTAAATCAATACTGATGAGAGTTTTGATCTTGACCAGGACCCTCAGAACGTTGCCTCCCTAGCCCCCATCTGTTAGCAGCTTTGGTCTTTCCCATATTGCTAATGGAGGAGAGGGAAAGAACTGCCTAAGGCTATCTAAATAAAACAGAAGCCCACTCCGGGTTCATGACGTCACTTCCCTGTGACGTGTATGTGGCGCGTGCGTGCAAAGCACGCACGCACATGCGCCGGGAGCCAGACTGGAGTCCCCCGCTGGAAGGGTAAGTGCCACTTGGCAACCCTAGACTAGATGGACCACTGGTCTGATCCAGCAGGCTTCTTCTTATGTTCCATTTGTTTTAGCTTTAAAGCAATACTGATGAGAGTTCTGATCTTGACCAGGACCCTCAGAATGTTGCCTCCCTAGCCCCCATCTGTTGGCAGCTTTGGTCTTTCCCATATTGCTAATGGAGGAGAGGGAAAGAACTGCCTGAGGCTATCTAAATAAAACAGAAGCCTACTGGCACTTTAAAGATGAAGAGCATGTATTGCAGCGTGAGCCTTCATGAGTTACAGCTCACTTCTTCAAATGCTGTAAGCCTCTCCAGTCAGTTTATGGCTCAGGTCAGAATCACAGCATAGTGGAGCCCATCTTGATCGGAATCAATCCTGTCTTGGCTGGAAGATTATTTGACAAGTAAATAGGTTCAGAAAGGTGAATTTGATAGAGCTACGCAAAGCCATGGCAAAAATGCTTACGTTGCAATCCTGATCTGCTTCAGTAGAAGCATTATTATGTTGCGGCTAAAAGATAATGATGCTTCCCGTCAAGTGCTAGGCAAAGTATGTTAATGATTTTACACATGCCAGAGAACACCGCAGAGAAATGGATTAAGCCTCTTTCAGCTGTAAAAGTAGTACATAGAAACAGGTAAACCAGTTCAGGAATTTGAGTTTGAGGTCAATGCTGTGGCAGTCTTTTAACACCATGTGCCCTCTCCGGAGACAGTGATGCATTAAATGTATTAAATCACCTCTTCTCTTCACCCTCCAGCATTGTCTTGTAGGTGGCAATCTCAATATCAAGGGCCAATTTGGTATTCATGAGTTCATGGTAATCCCGCAAGAGGGCAGCCAGTTTATCTTTGGAATTCTGCAGGGTATTCTGAAGCTCCGCGAAATTAGCCTGGGCCTCTTTAAGAGCACAGGCGCCATGTTGTTCAGTGGTGCTAATGGCAGTCTGTAGAGAAACAACCTGTGGAAAAAATGGATAACATTTCTAAAGTGAATACTAAATTCCAAGTATGCTTGGATCCAACCTTAAACTACCTCCCAACAATATGTGAGTGTCTTTTTTTTTTTACCATTCTGCAGCAGTGGTTTTCACACTGTGTTCCAGTGTGAATTTTTTGCAGTTCCTCAAGGAAGAAATCGCAAGATGTCATAGTCCCGCTGTACACTGCATTGGTCAGGCCACACCTGGAGTATTGTGTGCACTTCTGGAGGCCTCACTTCAAAAAGGATGTGGACAGAATGAAGCAGGTGCAGAGGAGAGTGACAAGGATGATCAGGGGCCTGGAGACCAAGCCCTATGAGGAAAGGCTGAGGGACTTGAGAAGAAGAGGTTGGGGGGGACGACATGATTGCTCTCTTTAAGTATTTAAGGGCTGACACTTAGAGGAGGGCAGGGAGCCATTCCTGTTGGTGGCAGAGGATAGGACTCGTAACAATGGGTTTAAATTAAGGGCAGGAAGGTACCGGCTGGATAGTAGGAAAACTTTTTTACAGTAATAGTTGTTCAACAGTGGAATCAGCTACATAGGGAGATGGTGAGCTCCCCCTCACTAGCAGTCTTTAAGGAGCAGCTGAACAAACACTTGTCAGGGATGCTCTAGGCCAGGGGTGTCAAACTCACGGGTTGTTTCGTAGTGTCTCTTGCCTTGAAAACCCTACAGCAGGGGTGTCAAACTCATTTGTTATGAGGGCCAGATCTGACATAAATGAGACTTCGTTGGGCCAGGCCATGTGTGTCATAAAATGTAATGCCAGGTAGCAGAGATATAAACTTTATAAAGGACACAAACATAAAGGTTTTTTTTTACTTAAAATAAAAACATGTTTAAAAGATTAACAATATTTTATTTATTTAACAGTGTCTGATAACTGACACCTCTTGCTCTGAATTATTCCAGTAAAATGTGTGTGCTGTTGCAATCTTGAGTATGCTGTTCAGGTGTATATCTGTAAGCTGCAAACCTACAATGACGCAGCAGCAGCAGAACTGGAAGAAGAAGCAGAAGTCAGCCAGTTCCACTGCAGGCCTGATAGAAGCCCTCTGGGGGCCTGATCCGGCCCCCTGTTTGACACCCCTGCTCTAGGCTGATCCTGCATCAAGCAGGGGGTTGGACGATTACCTGTATTTCCCATTCCAACTCTGTGATTCTGTGATTCTATGCAATTCACAACTGGTTTCCCTAAAAGACTGTCCACTATTGATCTTCCCTCTGAAATATGCAGCTGTCAGGCATGGATGTTCAAAAGCAGCTCATACGCAAAAACTACATGGGGATTCACTTCCAACTGGGACTGCAGAATGAGGGGAGGGGAAGTGAATGTGGCTGTTCATAGTGAGTTCATTAATGGCTGCCATCATGCACAGAGAGCCTGGCTTGTATCTTGAATGAAACCAAGGGTGTGCCCCAGAATCCTCTTCAAGCTTGTGAGAGTTCATGGCCAGCATTTACAGGTTGGGAGATAGAAAATGTTCTCTGAAGGCCGAAATTTTGAAAACCTATGCTGTACCATTCCTTTTAGGAACAAATGCTCAACAGTAAGGACAGATCTAGATGAGACGCTGGAAGTAATGTGACAAGAGCTCCCAAATGTCCCCCCCCTCCGGATATAGTCAGATGTGTAGGAGGCCATTTTCACTGATACTCTGGATAAAGGAAGCAAGGTTGACGCTTGTCCCCATGTCACTGTTTTGACCTGAAATGCCCCAGAAAGCTGCTATTTGTCCAATCGGGGTAACCATCAGTGAGGCTGTTGAAGACCAATTAGTTTGGTGTTCAGTATCTTCCCCACAGTAAGGCTATTTACGATCTTATCCCATTACTCCACATCTGTGGTGGAAAGTGCTGGAGAGTGCCATCAAGCTGCAGATGACTTATGGAGACCCCATAGGGTTTTCACGCCAACTGGTTTGCCATTGCCCAATTTTGCGTAACATAGTGCAATAATACAATACCTTTATTGGCACAGTCAATTTAACATGACATTTAGGATCAATATATAGAATTAAAATCCACATATAAGTTAAAACACAGATACATAAGATTGTATAAGAATCAATTTATAATAGCATTAGATTTGGCTTTTCTTCCAGAAATTTCGCAACTGTTCTAGTCATTCAATAAGGACCAACAATTGATCGCAACATTCTTAAGATCAATTACCTGGGATAAAATTCCAAACAATTCCCAGTGTAAATTGTCATTAAGCTGACACTCAAGCATTATATGGACTTCCTCGGTGGTCTCCCATGTACATACTAACCAGGGCTGAACCCTGCTTAACTTCTGAGATCTGGTCAGGGGCTCCACATCTAGCGTGCCCGATTCTCATTTTGAGAGTCTGCTAGATCTGTGAGTTATCACATAAGTGGTTGCAAACCTCTGATTACAGTTGCTTGCATTGCTCTTGTAGACTGCCAAAGCAAATATCTTTAAGGCCGACAGTATGCCAAACCAGGGCTAACTCAAGCTAAGGAGCTACCTACCTTTTTCTTCTCATTATCCACCTGGCACTGCAATATTTGGATCATCCGGTTCAGCTCTGCAATTTCAGTGTTGTTTCTTTGCAGGCTCTCATGGAATTGGCAACTTTGGTTCTGAAGGGTCTGAATCTAATGCACAGAAACAAGATCAGAAACATATTTCTGCTTCCTGCCAGAGAAAGGCCAGAAGAGACCCCACCTCAAGACCACAGAAAACCTGTCCACTGAAGTGGAAGATCATGGCCCACTGAGCAAGGGCTCTGCTCCCAATCAAGGAAACACCTCCCACACTGACACCCCCATGAGCACTGAAGTGCCCAGAAAAAAATTATATAGCATCTGCAGAGATATGATCGGGAGCTGAAGTTTGGGGGAGTTCCCACAAGCAGCTTTCTGAGATCTTTGCCAGGAATG